CACAAGCCAGACTTGCCTGGAGATGACTGTTGTAGCACATTTGCCTGGTGTTCATGTTCACACCCTGTCCTGCCCTTTCTCCCAGCTGCTGTGTGAACACTGTATCACTGTGCTGAGAGTGACCAGGGGAAAGGTGTTTCATTTCACTGCTGCGATTGAAAACTTCCTTAGAAGCTTGAGGTGGTGAACTTTTGAGGGACTCACTTTCTTCATTAAACTGTAGGTTAATTGTGCATCCCAGTACTTTATCAAGGGCATCACCTTGTCATTTTCTGTTTCCTATGCATTGTTTCTAGTAATACTTCTGAGAGAGGTACCTCCTTCTAATTTCCACTTCTGAAGGTTAAGAATAAGATCTTTACACACTGTATGGGTCCTCAGTACGAAGAACAAAAGCAGTGTGTTTTTGCTAACACCTGCACTACAAATTGTGAGTTGTATTAACCCTCCATGTTTTCAGGGTGAAATACAACCTAGGTGTGGCATGGGAGGTTGGAGGACAAGTGATTTGGGCTGTTGCATGAAGTCCTTTAACTTTTTGATTAAATTTCCATGTGGCCCCAAGATTAAGAAGAAAGTAGCACAAAACAGTTAAGTTACGAATTTGAGGAAGCTTGAAATACTGCTTATGGAAAACTAGGGCCCTCATTCCAGGTGTTGATGTGCACTCAGGAATGACACTGGTTACCTGGAGGTCTGATATACTGCTAGCACAAAAACCTGCTCAACAGCGAGTAGCTTGATAACTCCCTGCACCACACATGAGCACAAGGTGGTGTGCTTCTGGAGCTCTACTCCCCTTTTTGCATCTAATGAATAATGGAAGTGGTGTTTTTCATTGCTACTTACTGTTCAATGAATAGCAGAATGATGTGTGACCTGAATAAATATTTAGGTGTACTAGTGTCTGTGAAATTTTCTTTTTGCTATAAAATGCATTTAAGAATTCGCCAGGCAATTCAGAAAGGTTAAAGCAGTGAACTGGGATTGTCCCAGAGTATATGATGGAAAACATTTGTAGTTTACTCAGCCTCTTCTTTAATGTATAGGTTAAAGAAGTTTCTGATGAATAATGACACCTTCATACATTTTAGATTGCAGGTGACTTTGTTAAATGTCAGCCAGGCCATACAAAACGATATGGAAGTGGGTACAATAACGTGGGCAGTTACGTGTGGAAGTCTGGATGCAAAAGATGAAAGAAGGCCACAGTGGGACTAGTTTGAACATGGCAGATCATAAATTTGTTCAGTTAATGCCAAGAGAAAGATGGGGAATGGGCACTTTTCCAAACATGGGGGATGAAACTATTTCATCTAATTGTGGAAGTACAGCAAGGACAGATATCTCACCCTTTTGAGCACTTAACTAGGAATTTTGTTCAGGATGGGATGTTTGTGACAGCGATTCACTCTGTCCTAAGCCTAAAGCTACACTTATCTTAGGCCCAGTGAGCTTTATGGTGTTGGTACTTGTTTGGTTTTGATGCTTTTGCCATGAGAAATGTTTGCCTCTGTGGGTTATAGGTGGTGCAAGATGCTTCTGACAAATAGCTGCTGCTGTGGGTCTTTATCTGCAGGTGGTTGATGCATCATCTCCCACAGCCCTTTATCCCCCTGCTCATTCTTCATCCAGGAAGGCAGAAAGTGAAAGATGGCTGCACCAAACATTTTCTCTATATTGCTTCACCTGATTGTTTCTTCCAGTGCATCACATTTAGTTTGTTAAAACCTATGATTTTCTGAATAGTACTCAAAATAGCAGAACTTCTTTCCTCTAAAGGGATTTTTTGCCTCCTGCAATTCTTAATGTTGTTTTTACTCATCTTAATGCCCATTTTTGGATCGATGTTATGCGTTTCAGGTGCACAGTGAAAGCACAGCTGCTAATTCGTTCTGGCAAATTGGCTGGAAATTGCCAGGTACTGAGCACTCCCAGACGTTTTAATGGAAAGTTTCAGCTGGACTGTCTCAAGGGCGTGCTTATTTTGTTTAAACTGGTTCAGTAATTTTAAATAATTTGAGAAGCTCTTGGCCTTTTCAAGTGCAAATTCAAAAATATGTTTGTCTCTTGTTAGTATTTTTTATGAACAACTACTAAATAAACTGACCATTTCTAAAGTACAGGAAGAATATTTGAAATTGGTGGTAACTTTAAGAAGCAGGAGAATCAAGCTGAGATTTGTTTTGCTGTTATGCTAAATTTCACTTTGTGGTTTTGTCTCCTAGTTCATTATAGGAAAAAAAAATTATTAGGTTGGCAGCAACATAAGGAAGAGATCCAGTGAGGTATCTTTTCCATTCTCTCTTAATGAGCAGTGTAAAACCCTGCACCATCAGGTTGTCTCTGTGTGTGAAGCTGTCTGATCAGGGGGCTAGAAGCCATCCTGTCTCTCACAAGGCAGGTTGGAAGCTCGAATTGTCCCACAACAAAACTGTGTTTCAGTCTCTTTTCCGTGCAGGAGCACCTGTACCGTGGAGTGTGTTGGCCGGTCTGTTTACCCTGGGCATCCGAGCCTGACCATGTTATGGCATCAGGGGATAATTGGGAGCCCATATATTGGTAATCATCTCTTCTAATCAAGGCTTTAGAGGAAAGCATCTGCCAATTTAGGGGTGAGCAGTAGAACCACAGGGTGCCTGATCTTCAGTAGCGTCTGCTGGAGACCAGCCGTGAGAGTCACTCTCTGCCACTGAGGTCACATGTGCAACAAGGGCACAGAGCTGCTGACTCTGCTGTGGATGTGTGGTAGTGGTGCAGCATCTTTTAAGCATTTAGCAACCAAATAAACAGGGTTTTGCCAAAAGTTTTACAGCTCAGAGTTTGTCACAAAGAACAACTGCCTAAACTCTTACGCTTTATAGAGCATGATGAGATATTTTAGCGTTTGCAGTGTTTTCTGTGTTTCATATCTCTTAAAAGGGTACGCATGAATATATGTACTGAAAGATATGCAAATTTTGGTTCCTTTTGGTATTTATGGAAGGATGCATCCAACTTTGGAGTGGGGTCTGGAGTACTATGTATGTGTGCCATAGACTGCATGAGGGGAGTAATCTGCAAAGGGGTTTTAGAACAAGCAACAGTGAAAACAAAGTAATCTGGGGCTAAGTAACAGTAGATAAGTAACAGTATATTGGTCCAGTTCCACATCCATGGAGGATGTGGAATTCAACATGTGGGATGTTGAATTCAGACCCCTGTCCAGAAAGCAGATAAAGATGGACTTGAGCATGGCCTAAGCACTCAGACAACAAGGGCAGCTGTCTTAAAGGGCAGAACTCAAAGAACAATCCCTTGGCAGGGGCATTAGTATCTTGAGTGGTTTGTGGATCTGTAGAAAATGCTGCACCACAGTTAGAAACTTGTGGTCCAAGTCAACCAGTGTTTCATTAAACACATCTGTTGAATTTCTTGAGAGAAATCTTGATGTCACTGAAATCGATAGCAAAACTTCCTCTGACTTTTACTCAGAGCAAGATTTCTTCTCTCTTTTTCGGTAAGTACACAGAAACAGTAACACAAAGGCCAAGGTTTTCAAAATTACCAGCAGGACTTAAAGTGCCCTGAAAACATGAATTGTGGGTGTTTGTTTCCCCTGGGCAGCCTATGCAGTCTGAACTCTATGTTGGTGTGAAACCCTGATGAAATATTAAAGACCCTCAGAGTGAGGACACGCAACATTCACTGCATGTGGATTGCTGAGCTGGCCATTCAGCAGGGGCAAGCCCTCGTCTGTCAGTGCACAGAACTACAAATCCAGGGCATGAGATTTGTAGTTTGCCTGCAGTTGGTATTTGCCTTGCAAAAAGAATTTGAGTTGCAGAATTAGCAGACATAAACAAAAACCATGAAGGAGAAGTGCACGCAGGCACCCCGGGGTTGCTGACACTGAGTCAGGCTGCCCAAGGGCACAGCTGAGTGAGAGTACAAATAAACTCTGTACAATGATGAAGTTTTTTTTCACACATGAATGCTTTTTGATCTTTCCAACAGAAAACCAGGTGAGATTCTCAGTTAGTGAAATGTCAGATTAGAACCATGGCACAACCTAGTTGAGCACTGATCACCTGAACATACTGGTAGTAACTGCTGAACAGCTTTTGTTTTCCCCTCCCTTCATTCTAATCCATTTGTTGCTGTTACAGGGTAACTCTGTCTTTGAAACAACACAACTTGTGTTTAGGAATTTGGTGAGGATAGGACTGAGTTCAGCTGTGAACTGTAAGAGGTGTATCCATCTGCTGGAGATTATCAACTACCGTAATGCTACACATATTCTTTTTAGGTTGATAGGGCAGGGTCATAATTTCACCAGCTCACAAAAAATGCTCCCATCATAACAGAAAGCAGCAAAGGGACCCAAAGAGAGGAATGTAACATCTGTGTCTGTTCCCTCATTCCAGGGTTCATAAAACTGTTCTTGTCTTATTACAACAGAGAAAAGCCAACACTTGAAAGTTTTGTAAATGATCTAAATCAGTCCTTGTTCTGAGCTGCTCTCAGGGCTGTAGATATTTGGCAAGTTTTTGTTCAAACAGAGACATTTTTTGTTAAGGAGAGAGGAGAGGAAAATTCTCTACAGTCCAGCATGTAGTTGGCCTGTCCACACAAATGTTTGTGCTGGGCTATTAGAAACAGGTGCTCTTCAAACTCTAAAATAGCTCCAACTTTTCCTTTTTGAACAAGAGTGAACTATCACTGTTTCTGCCAGTCTTGAGCAATGTCTTCCAGGTTGAGTCTGACTGGGACATCATTCTCCTGTCGTGCTCTGGTGGCCTCATCTCTCAAGGGTAATGTTATCTTGTTAGTCATTCCTTTGCTGAATCACAAACTGACTTTGTGTTTCTTCCTCTGCCCTCTCCAGTCCCAGTTTCAAAATCTGAACAAAGCTTATAATTCCTACTGCCAAACTTCCAAGAAAATAAAACAAAGAGAGTTCTGGAGCTGTGAGAAGTTACTAAAAAGCCATTTCCATTATCTTCTCCTATTTGTGCCAGAGGATCTGTGTGGTCTTTGAGTGCCAGGCTCTAAGGTGTGCATTCAGAAAGACAGCCTGTCCTTTACATATTGTTCTGCAGCATAGAGCAGTAATGGTAAATGTGTATTTTCACTTTCCTCAGCCTGTTCATTGAGATTGCAAAGTTAAGTAATATGTGTTTGTAAATCCCACCCATGTGTTTGTGAAAGGGGAGACATTTACTGTTTTCTACCTTTGCTCATAGAAAAGAATTGAAAAATAATCCTATCTGAAGTACCCAAATGATAGAAAATTGTTTTCATTTTTTGTGTGCTTGAATTGCAGGTTTTTTTAAATATATATTTATTGTGCTAACAATACAGTTCTCCTAATTAATATTAATCATTAAGAAATAGGAATGGTCTTAGTGGTTACCTTGCTCCCAGACTAACTGAAGTAAGTATTCCCACAGACACTAGACAATCCTAAACTAAAATATTAGTTTCAAAAATCCTATTACGGCAAATCCATAGACTTGATCAAGTGAAAATAGGCATGAGTTAGGCATTCAAATATTGATGGTTCTGTATTTACATAACAAAAGAAAGTAACAATCTGAACACAGAAATCTCTTAGAAGATTTTTGTTTGAAACTGGACATGAATTAAAAGGACCTAGTCAGAATTTATCACAAAAGGTGATAAAACTTTGAAATCTGAAGTGTTGCTGTTTGCAGACCTTGTACTTGCTGACTTCTTTCATGTCGTAAATGTAGCCAGCCTGGCCAAGTGTGGTAGATCAGCTTTAATCTCTGGAATGGCCCACACCTTGTATCCTCTCAATCTACAATAAAGAGAGAGAATAACTGATTTCTGTGTATCTTTAAATTAAGTTAAAAAAAATATAGTTAACATGGAGGCCAGCTACTAAGCAAGGATGCTTATCCCTCCAAAGAAGAAGGATTAAGGATAAATACACAGAAGCATTGCCAATGCTTCCTTTGATTTTTAGACTTATTATTGTTTTTCTCTTTGTTTTCAGGTATGGGTAACATAAGACCTGCAATTATGAGAGCAAAGAGAATGAGAGAATAAATTAATGAGAGCAGAGATTAAATTAACACAACCAGTGTCACCGAATGACACACCTGAAAATTCACAGCTGCCAGAAAACTTCCTGCTACTGGAGGGAGACAGTCATTTAGCCAGGCAGTTCCTCAGTTTTGGTTGAATGAGTATTTTGTTGCGTTTATTGAGATAATATTTTATTGCGAGGGGGGATCACTCAGTTTGGTGAAAGCTGTGTGCCACATGCAGGTGGGAGAACTCAACAGACGTGGCAAAAGACAAATGCTCTTGTTCAATCAACAAAGGCATCATGGTTTGAAGTATCAAGGCCTTGGGCAGCTCTGAGCACTACTGTTACTGATAACTAACTTCTTTTGGCAGCAAAATGGTGATGTGATCAAGACAAGGGAATTTCTGTTGTGCAGACTGTCTTAACAGTGAGGAGGACCAACATCTAGAACTTTCACTGGAAGACCAATAATCACACTTACAGGTATGATATTGGGTCTGTACATTGTTTATATGTAATCTATATAGTAAATTACCAAATTAGAGAGTTTTGTCAGGTGGAGAACTTCACAAAGCAAAATGGCAGGACACATTCTCAGCAGGTGCACAAGAGCAATTATTTGCTCTGACAGCAGTTGGGTTTTCTAAAATACATCCAACACACTGTGTGGCATTTATTTTTCTGCCAGATTAATTATGTGGCTTCCCTTTTCACCCTGCCATCACCAGTCGTATTTTATCCAGGGATAAGCCTCCAGCTGGGCTGGCCCAGGTGAGCCATGCCAGGGGGTTGGGCAGTCCCTGTGTGCTGTTCCTGAAACCAAGGCAATTCCTGCTCCATACCACAATTCCACCTCTTCCGTTTTCAGGGTTGTGTTTTCCAGGGTGTATGGCATGTCCATTCAAGTTGCATGGTAGATCTGTCAATGTAGAAATGTCAGAGCAGTCCTCTGTATAGCTTGGGGAAAGGACATTTCATTTTACATCCCAGAGTGCCACAAAGCCACAGCTGTGCTTTGCTTGGTATCCAGCGTCTGCTTCGGGAAGCACAAGGGCAGCCTTCCAAAGCTGAGGAAACCACACTCCATGCCATGCGAGTTCCCTGTGCCATGTCTGAGGGTTTGGTAATATGTTCTTCTTGGATTTAGAAGCAGATTGTAGGTAAAATACTCTGATCACAGAATCATAGAATGGTTTGGGTTGGAAGGGACCCTAAAGATCATCTTGTTCCCATCCCCTGCCGTGGGCAGGGACACCTTCCACTAGACCAGGTTGCTCAGAGCCCCACCCATCTCCATACTTGCAAGGAGACCTACCTGTCATTCTATATGTGAAATGATAATCACAGCTAATGCCATTTTTCTAATGTGTATACAAAATTCTAGGGGATTTTATTATTATTATTATTATTATTTCATCCTTACGAGGGTTTTTTTCTGCATAACTTTCTGTGCAATACCGTTTAGCTTGTTGTTAGACTGTCAAAGAGACATTCTCAAGGGAAGGTGGCACATTTTTTCTGAGGCCACCTGTATTCTAAAAGGAAAAAAAAGTCTTCATTCATTTTTAAATTGATTTAAAGGTGAGTTTGGGAGGAATTTGGATCTTTATTTCTTTTGTAAGTACAACAAACTCCTGTTGAATGCTCGTTCCCATGATCTTCTTTAGCAGCATTAACTATGGTGTGACATTTGAGAGGAATATAATTTAGGCAGACCCATGTGTAGCAGGGTTTTGTTGACATTTATATTGTCTCAGCAATGGTTCTAACACATCATTCAAAGTTGTCCAAGGTTCAGTGTCTTTCTGCCTGTTGGTTGGCTCTTGGTGAGGTTAATTATTGGATACTGTCTCATAATGGAGACAGGTGTTCAAGAAAAGAGTTCAGTGACATTCCCACCCAAACCCTTTTCCTGCCTGCTCAGTTACAATTATCTGGACTGAGATACCAGTTTTATAGTTCATTGTATTTTTTTAATTACAGGTGACTCTTTTAAATGTTTTAGATATTTAGAAGAAATTATGCTTTGAAAATTATTTATAACCTTGCAGAGCCACTTCAGTAGAGAACAGACATGGTGTTTTGTTTGAACATCCAGCAAGGCTTTAGGTTACTTAATTATGATCAACTTTTATTCAGCTGGGTTTTTCCTGTGAGTGGAGAAGCTGCTGTTGACAGGGGTGTTCTGCACAGCACAGAGGAGAGTCCACTTCCCACACACAGGAACACTTCTGCCTGACGTGGTACCTCCTCTTGCCAAGGCTCTGGACACCAACACCACACCTCATGTTTCCCACTGTCTTCCTGTGACAATTTTTGGGAGGACTTCTCAAAGAATGAGAAAGGCCCTTCAAACTGTACTGACAGGGTGGTCATCCAGGTCACGTCTTCTGCTTGTGTTTGCCAGATGGGACCTTAGATTTGGGAAAAGCCCATTTGTTTGTGAAATAGTTACAGGTTTTCTAGCGAGACTGCAGTTTAATACAAATTATAGTAGTAAGTGGTACCACAAAACGCAAACTTTAATTATTTTAAAACTCATAAAACAACTTTAACATTGTTTTCAAATTAACTTTTGAACTAGTGCTGTTTCTAGGCATTTACTTTACGTATATAGGGGAAAATATTAAAAAATATGGGGGAAAATTCTGTATAAGAGAAACGCTGTTTGCTTCATGGATACAGAATTAATCGGAATTAAATTAGTGATTGTTTTTACAAATATATCTGAGATTTGGAGAAAATGCCATGTTTCTTCATAAACTATTAGCCCTTTTTTTTTTAGGAATTAAAAGTGTTAGGATTTTATTCCTTATTTTCTTTACTTTTTTATCTTTTTTATTTCTTTTTATCTTTTCTTTACTTTTTTATCTCTTCCCCAAATATACTCCTAATAATTATTGCTTCATCAGACAGTGAATTGGAAATTTCCAGAAAATACAGTGCAGTATTATATTTTTATTTATATATATATATAGATCTAATATATATATTTAGATCAAAATAGAATTCCTGGGCAATTGCTGTTGGTGATTGCTAGAGAGGAGATGCTTGACTGAACTTGGTTTTACTTGGTGCAGTTGGCTCTTGTATCCATCTTAGTGTAAATTGGTTCATGAGGTTTCTGAGATATCAGATCTGGAGGAACACTGTTAATCTAATCAAGATATTAGGATTTTTTATGGACAGTACTATGCTTCCTCCTCACCTGCTTCTCTCTTTCCTCTGCCATCTGCATTACTGCTCCCTGCTGAACATGGCAGTGGGAAGGCAGAGGTAAATTCGCTTAATGTTATAAGAACACTGTTCTCAAGTGTGTCAGAGTGTGCTAGCATGATCATTTGGTATGTAGAATTTGTACACAGGCATAAGAAAATAGAGTAAAACTGGGAAAATTCTGTTGAGTAGGATCTTTTGGTGAGTTTTCAGTTTCTCTGGTTTTTAATTTATTTTTTCCTTGAAAGAAGAAACAAGGAGTTCCTTAATATACTGCCTGGTGAGTTTGCTGCAGGAGCAGCAGGGGTATGAGCAGGGCCAGTCCACCAGAGTCTATAGGCAGCCACAGAGCAGAAAACGTTCTGTTCATTATTTCTGTCCTTTCCCTTCTCAGCTTTTTACTCCCTCTAGTTAATGGGAGATAGATCTGAAACACACAAGGGAAATAAAAAGTAGGACAATGATAGAAATAACAGACAATTCTTGATAATAATGGGGCACTGAAGGTACAGCGGGTGTTTGATTTATTGTGGTGTCTTGTAGTAAACAGGGAAATAAAATACTGCTCTTGAGGGTTTTTTTTCTGTCTTTCTTAATATAAAATTATAAAAGCTAATGGGCAATGAAAAATTCTGCTATCTGCAACACTATCCCCATATTTGACCTTGCTAGATGATGGAATCAGGAATGTGTCTATATCATTCTTCGCTTGTGGTACCACTTTGGCCTTTATAAACCTCTTCATTTTGTAAAGAAACAGTTCCCTGGGTTTTTTTAGTGATAAGTATTCCTCTTTCTTTCTTTCTTTCTTTCTTTCCTTCTTTCCTTTTCTTTCTTTCTTTCCTTCCTTCCTTTCTTTCTTCCTTTCTTTTTCTTTCTTTCTTTCTTTCTTTCTTTCTTTCTTTTTCTTTCCTTCCTTCCTTCCTTTCTTTCTTTTTTCTTTCTTTTTTTCTTTCTTCCTTCCTTTCTTCCTTCCTTCCTTTCTTTCTCTCTTTCTTTCTCTCTTTCTCTCTCTCTTTCTCTCTCTTTCTTTCTCTCTTTCTCTCTCTATTGCTTTCTTCCTTGACTGTAAAATGCTCCTACTTGTGCTATTCCCCTTCACAACCCCCCCCTCAAGTATTTAGTAACAAGTAGTTTCAGTGGGAGTGTTTATGTCCACAAGATCCTGGTTATGCATATGGCCAACAAGTAATTTACTGTCTGGTTTTATTTGCCTATTATCCACTTACATCACCATTTATTGTTAAGCATTGCCTTATAACACAGGGTTTTTCTACCTTCAGTTGAGCAGCTTGTTAAGTTTCCCTTTTGTCCTCATTCCTGACCAGCTAAGGAAACACCTGTCTTCTGGTGCATCAAGTGATGTAGTAATACACAGTCAAAGCAGAATTCAACACATTTGAACTACTTTATATTTTAAGATTTCTAGCAGGAAATCATCTAGAAGTGAAGTTCTGCTACCTCTAAACTATTTTTGTCTATCCTTGCATCTAAAATCAATGTTTACCTGCATTGGCTCTTCACTGAACCACTCCACCAGTTTCCTAATTTGTTTTAGGAGATGTTGTACTGCTTATTTCATTATTTTTTGACTTGTGGCTCTTCTAAAATATATAAGGGCTTAATTTTATGAGATGCTGTGTGCCCCTGTCGGCTATGCCAAATGGTATTATGGCACACTGACACACACTTGGATCAGTATTTTAACCTGTATCTGTGTTTTTTTCTGGGCTTCTTTCCAAAATGACCTGTTCTTGTGGAGGTGACCAGACTGTGGATATGTGTCTACATAATATGGAGTTGGTGTGCTTGGAATTCTGTGGTTAGACACAGCACAGGAGTGTTATCATTATTGAAAAACCAATGACCTTTGCAACCAGAGTTTTCAGAGTTGATTACTATTATCTGTAACTATTCAGAGTAATTCAAA